ACTTATTTACCATAAACGAATATATGTGAATATATTTAAAAACTCTAAATTTAATAATATCAACAAGGACCATTTAATTCTAAAAGAAAAGCTCGGATCAAGCCAATGGTTTCTAAAGTAGAACTTTTTCTTTAAACAAGTGAAAATACTACTTTTAAAAAGTCTATTGAAATTACTTTTATTGATTACCACAATATATCAAGTTATTGTGCATACTTTTAGGACAAACAAAAAGAAGTGTTTACATAAAGGTTATATTAGATGGGTTCTTGCTTTTATTGAACTTTTAAAAATCTTATAGTTTCGGAAATATAATTGGAGAAATATATAAAATTTTAAGGTCATTTGTGTATAAAGTTTTAGCTTTCCATTTTAAAGGATGCAGAAGTTTTGCAGGCAGACACACGGATCATATCGAGTACAACTAATAAGCACCTTTTCCCCCAATTTGTTTTTGGAAGTGTGTTTAAACTAAAAAAAAGGCAATACAAAAGCTCTTAAAAGTTAAAAAAAAAAAGAAAAACTAAAAAATTGTTAATGATAGTAAAAATTTTCTAAATTTAAAATTTAAAACACATATTTACTTATATATTCACATACACAATAAAAATTAATTTTAATTCACAACTTAATAATTTAACCATTGGTTGACCTTGGGAAAAATTTTATTTTAGTAATGTCATCCCACAATAACTTTTTTATTATAATTCTTAATAGTTTAAAATTTAATGGAAGAAAAAAGATAATCTTCATAAGTAGAGCTAAGTATTTACTTAGATATTTTAAAAATTTATATTTATCTACACATATATTCAATAGACTAATAAATACACATAGGTACGAGTATATATGCACACAGAGCCTTTATCCTGAAATTCATGCAATATTACCAAATAAAATTAACAAAAACTTTTTATTATCCAAAAATTTTACTATACTTTTAACCCTCATTTAACATTGATATAACCTGATATAACTACATTATACACAAATAAGCATCAGTAATACAAAAATATTTTAACACATACTTAAAAAAAAAAATTCATTGGTACTCGTACCTATAATGATAGTACGGAATATGGATTTTTTCTAATAGGTATACTTTCAGTTAAATTTTTTCTTAAATACATAAAACACCAATTTTAAAACAAGATTTCCCACTTAACACTGAAAGGATATTCAAAACAATAAAAAATTCCCCATTAAATATGTATAAATTTTATATAGGAGTTATACGACTATATAAGGGCGTTAAAACCAAATCACTCTAATATGGTCAAACATTACCATTACTTAAAAATATCTCTGAAAAATAAAAAAAAAAAAAAATTAACGAAAGATGAGTATTTGGTTATTCATTCTGTGTAGACAAGAAAAAAAACGTGACGCCTACATCTGAAATTCGTGAAACATCCATACATTGAATACATTTTATATATTGAAATATACAACACATTACGTACACATTATATAGTAAATTAATTTATGGTTATGAGGGTATAAAATACATGCTTTTCACCTTTTTTGTTCCCTAATATTGAAAACTTTTCAAAATATATTTAGCATTCAATTTGTATATAAAGTAGAACTTTGAAAAACTAAAAATCTTATAATTTTATAGTGTTATTTTGACTATAGATTATATAATTGATAAGAATTCGAAACGTAAATCAGGTTTTTCAATAAGGACGTTTTAAATTTTTCATTTACTCTCATATTAAAATTTAAACATTAAAATCTTCTACTTAAATTATTCTCATTAATATGCCCAATTAATTTTAGCATACTTTCAGGATGAAAAGAAAAATTAAAAGAAGTGTTAATATAAATGGTCAAATTTGACCAATAATTGTATCCTACTTATTTATAAATAGGTAAAAATTATATTAGAAATCCATTTTTCGTTAAGTTTTTACTTTAATAGAAATTCGGAAAACATGCTGTTTCGGAAAAATAAGTAGTCAAAAACTGAAATTTTGACGGTAAGGGAAAAATTTGAAGTTTTTGACCAAAAATTTGAAATTTTTGAATTTATTCTTTTTTTTGCGCTAATAACCAAAAATTGATTTTGTTGAAACTTGTAATACAAAATATTTTTCAAATATTTTATAGTTTAATTTATTCTCTGACAAAATTTCCCCATATGTTCCCCATTTAGTTCCAAATGTCGATCTTTTTAATTTTCTTTAAAAAAAGATTAACAACTACTACAAAAATTTAAATTTAGGACTTCATTTGTTAAGCCAAATTTAACATTTTTTTGAAAATTAATAAAAATGTTGAGTTTATCTATATACATACATATATTCTTTTTTAAAATTTGATCAATTAGCCAATTTCAATGTTCTGACTGAAAATGCTTTTGAGGCACACTTTTCCAATTTAGTTTTCCGAATCATAGATTTACACCTTTGGTTCTATATTTTGATCTTAAACATATATAACTTTAAATGGGTTCCTAATTGAAAAACTCAATTTTAAATTTACATAGAATCAGAATATTAAGATAAACAACGTGTGATTTTAAACCCGTTTAAATTCACACGTTGCACTGATAGAACATTTCTTTATAGTAAAAAAAAAATTGTTAAAGTTTTTCCGCTTAACATTTTATACACACACTTTATATACAGATATACATACATCGTTTTTACAATAATATTAAAAGGAAAATCCATTTTTGGAAAAAAAAAATATTTTATTTGAAAAAGATAAACGAACTGTAAAACGAAAATGGGAGCAATTTAAAAAGATTTAATAGTATATATTATGTATATATGTATGTACACATTTTTTCGGATTATTTTTATGGCATATATCTGAATACATTATAAAACACATAAATACATATATGTGCGCTCGAATATGTTGAATGAGAATATAACTGTAAAAACATGTACAGAGAACATATTTTTGTACATAACGTTTGAAGTTGCTACTCCGATATGGAATAGAAGCAATATGGAATAGGAATATCGAAACTATATTGGTTATTCTGGTTTCGGATTTGAATAGAAGAAATATAATATTATCAAATTTTTAAATAAAATATTTAAAAATTCTTGTATTAAAAAATTTTTTAATTTAATCACTGCAATTATTTCATATTTGATTTATTTTCGGCTGCAGATAAAATTATAAGATTTTAAATTTTTCGTTAAAATTTAGAACGAATCTTATGAATGAGAATAGAATATTTTTCTAATTCTTATTTAATTTTAATATTAATAATTCATGCAGTAATTTTATTCAAATGTGATTTTAAATGAAGTAATTTTTTCATAATTATTTTATTACCTACTCTTGGGGGCCAATAATTCATATACATATGCATGTATTTAAATTTTAGATTTTGAAATGCTTTTATTGGACATTTGTATATCTTTCATATGTATGTAGGTTTTCAAATAAATAACTTGCTATAAGGGTTTTGAGGTCTCAATATAAAATAAACAATAAAAAATATTTTAATGATATACATATATGTAAGTATACATAATATGTTTGCATAGTTATATTCGTACAACAATAGAAACACAGACAAGAAATATAATGTATGTAAGTATTTATTTATATTTCAATAATTTTTATTCTTCAATAGTTTTTTAATACAATGAATTAAAATTATTTTGTAGGTAAGATATCAAATCAAAAATGAGATATACAATAACAAAAAATTAAAAATTTCATATTATGCTTTATTTTCCAATTATTTAAACAAATAAAATGAATAATTAAAATAAACATAGTAAATTTAACAAACATTTTTATAAATAACTCACATACCCTTCCTTTATTTCAAATAATTTCATTATTATTTTAAATAAAATTTAGAATACTGGAAGAAAATTTTTAAAAATACCATCAGGCTAACAGCAATAACTTGGTTCTCTTGCACTTCTTAAAATATATTAAAAACATTCTTTCTCTGTATTAAAAACATACACAAAGTAATATAAAATTACTTTTATATTACACTGTTTCAGCCTCACAAATAAATATCTTAGACTCAGATTGAATTAAATATTCCAATATATTTTAAAACTTTGTTGTTGAAACTTCCCAAAAACTTTTTGAACCTTTTGCATCACTTTTCAAGATCAAACCTGTTCTCCTTCGGTAATTCAAATATTTTTTTTTATCTCTAGTGTTTATTTCGCTATTTATCCTTAGTGTATCTAACATAAAATATTTCCATTTGTTTACATACAGGATGAACAGATTTGGATAAACACAAACTATTCAAATTTCTTTTTTTTTTTTAAATTTACTTGGATTGATTTCGACCCCGTATACACTTAAATCATGTTGCTACCTTTTTACAATTTATCTATATATGAATCCATACATTCACAAGTAAACCACAATTATAAACCAAAAAAAAAAAAAATAATTTAGATAAATACCCAACCATCAAGATCATTTCAAGAATTTCATATATGCGAACAACTTAATTTAACTTTTACACTTTAAAAAGTTTTATTACTCGAAAAAACTCACACCCATTTATTTACATAATACGGGTAGATTTTATCATAATATTGCAAATTTTCAATATAACCATACATGATTGTTATTTTAATAATAATATCCTCCTCACATCAAAAAAAAATTAAAAATTGTTTTACCAAACATTAATTTATCACCAAAAAGAATTTCGGGGTAAATATCTATATATAAAAATATTTATCCTTTATCAAGAAAAATAATAATATATTATAATTATTATGTGTATATATCCCATTAAAGGAGTTTTAATTAAATTTTAATGTTACAACATTTTTCAAAATATATTCATCATATATGTATATAGATATATGTATTACATTTTATTGAAATATTTCCGCCGGTAATAACGCGCCAATATTATATTATACAAAAAATATAAATATTTTGAAATAATTTTCCAACACAATAATATTTATATAGGTATATAGTATATAACAAACAATAAATTTATCATATTATTTATTTGAATATTTTGTGTTTTTTTTTAATAGTATATGTGTTACGGTTGTTGTATTAAATGTTCACTTCCGTTCACCTCAAACACATCGGATGGCACCTTGGGTTAAAAGGATATTCATAAATTTTCTACCGAAATTCCTTTTTATCAAAAGACCTCAGTATAATTTTGAAACAAAGTAAGTTTATATAATAATAAAAAATATAAGTATATAATATAAAAAACTGATTCAGAAATTGAAAAAAAAAATATTAAATGAATAAATAAATTTTTCTCATATATTTTATAATACAATATAAACACATACATACATATTATACATTTACAAAAATACCTACATATATATAAATACTGAATGTACATACATTATAAAATACATATTTGTAAATAATATATTTATATATTTAGAAAATACTTAAAGAATATTCTTATTTTAGATTAAAAATAATTATTATATGATCACAATAAGAATTTAAAGAAGAAAAAAAAAACATTGGCAAAAAATATATTTAATCCTTTTTTTTTCATTTCTTTTTTTTTATTTCATTTTATTTTATTTTTTTCTCTTTTTTGTTTTGTTCAATGTCCTATTTGCGTTTTTTTGTTTTACTCCATTTTATATTATTATTTTTCTCATATTACAGTAGATTATTGTTAAAGGATTCTCATGCCTGCTTCTATCCTTATTATTCGACCACAAATCTTGATCGTAGCCCAACTCGATATAGTCGAACACCATCAAAAGAAGATTTGTCACCAAGTAGGTGAGTTCAATGTTAATTTAAAATTAAACAAAAAATCAAACAAAAGTAATGAAATAATTTTAATGGTTACCTCAAAAATGAACTTATGTAAGAAGAAATAAATATTGCAACTATATATAAATGTATACCTTCATATACTAGTTTTTTTTATAGAAAAATTATCTAAAGTAAAAATTAATATTTAAAAATTGCAATGAATTTCATTTATATAACAAATAAATTGTAATATATGGTGTTGCTCGGATATGGTAAAAGAAATTGCATACAAAATTAATTTAAAATTTTGAAAATTCTGAATTTATTGAATTTTAAGTATATTAAATATTCAACATAGCAGACTAACAAAAGTAATAAGTTGATTATTCATAAATTAAAAATTTAATTTGAGAAAATCAAATGTGGTTTAATTAGTATAATATATAAAATTCAGAATACATATTTTAGATATGTAAACACACAAGTGAGAAGGTTTGAAAAAAAAAGTAAAATTTTTATACTTTTAAAGCATTATTTTGCGGCTCACTCACGCACTACTGCAAAATCTCTTTAATCAATAAATAATGAGAATAATTGTTTGTTTTATTCTTCTGTTAAATAATGACATTGGTCGACATTTTATTAGACATAATTTGTATGTAAATCGCATTTAAAAAATTGCATATTTTTAGGTGCGTAGTTTTAATTAGTGTTTCAGGAATAAAAAGAAAACATTAAGGTTAACACTCATGAAATTATATATATATATATATATATATTATATAAATGATCATCAATTATCTTACGTATATTAAATATTATATTTATATATATATATTTCGATGCAAATCTTAACCTCGACTATATTTAATATTATTCAATAAGGCTAAACTCATATAAATGTGTTGCAAATATTTGCCGAAATTTTGCTTGATATACGTTTAATATTGTTTTTTAAGACTGTAATCCATTTTAGACGATCGTTAAAAATAAAAGATTTAACACTGTCTCATATGTTTTTCTCACAATTCAGTTTCTAAAATTCAGAATAGAACCAATTATTAATCACCATTTAAAATTTCTTAATATTTTACAATGATAGCTTCTGCATATTTCAATTTTTCTCTTAATAAGTAAAATACCAAACTTCCATTTAATAAAAACAGAAGAAGATTAGGCAAATCCTTAAATAAATTTGAAAAGAGCGGCACCTAAATATTATTTTCCAAAAAATTTGCTTAAATCGATTTTCATTGTAATTTTACTTAGTCTATATTACTTCTTTATAATAACATATCTTGCATGTAAATGTGCTAAAATATACTATTATACATACATACAAACATTAGATACGAGAAAATTAATTAAAATTTTAGTTTTTTTTTTAAGAAAAATGTGTATAAATTATTTTGGTCTTGTTATACCAATGCAACATATTTAGCTTTAATAAGAGATAACTCAGACTTTACTACGAAAACAATATTAAAAAACCTCTGCATTCTGTTATAAATCTGTTATACACTGTTGATAAATTCTTAATAAAATCTTGATGTTGTAAATTTTTAATTTATTCCTTTTTTTTCTATTTCTTTTTATTTCATTGTTAGTGTCTTTTGCATTTAAATGTCGAAAATTCTAAAATGTCTTTAAAAAAAAACAGTAGGGTGGCTTCACATTATTTTATATTTTTTAGTTTTTGCATAGCTTCTTTTGTATTTTTTATCTTTAGTTTTAAAAAATTTGTAACAAAATTTATAGTCCAGTAAAGTAAGACAAGAAATTTATGTCAATTAAATTTTCATAAATAACTAAAATTCATTTTGGTATATGAAATAATTCATAATGTTTCATGGAAAGGATTTTCAATTAACTCGATGTAGTTATATAACAACTTCGTTCTCAATAATTCTATGGCAATAAGGAAAAACAATATAACTTGACTTATCACAAAATCAAAATATTACCGCCCTCCAGTTTTCATTTTCAAATTTATATGTATATGTATATAATATATTCTAACAAAATTTCATTAAACTCGGAGTACTGAAAGTTGGCACATGAATCCAATCACATGAAGAAAACCACCACTTTTTGGAATGACGTACAGTGAGTTTTCATATTTATTCGAAATTAGCGCTGCATTAAGAAAATATTGCGAAAGAATTTTTTTCATAAATATTTCTTACTTATCAACAAATTGTATATTAAAGTGGTAATGTGTGTCGGAGGGAAATTACTTGAAACAAAGAATATCCCAGCTAACATTTTTTGATATGCAAAAATTTTATTTAAAGCAGTGGTTTCCCTACAAGCAGTGGTTTCCCTTAACATACATATAAATAGTTTGCATAGCTTAAAACCGTTTAAATAAGAAAATGAAACATTCTTGTTTCTACAAAAAAATTTAAAGAATTTTTATAACTAAACCTTTTACTGGCTTACGAAAAATACATATAAAAACTTCAAAACAAAAACTAGCAAAATTGAAGTAAAATGTTAACCCCGAAAATATGTAACTGCTCCTTATAGTCCATGAATTTTTTTAAAGTAATGTCCAACAATTTATGTAATATGTACTGTGGGAATACCAAAATGTAATGTAATGTTGATTGAAAATTTAATGTTATTTAAAATTTTTGAGAAATTGAAAAAATCTTATTTAACTGGTTTATTATTCGTATATATTTTACCTATCAAGTTTTTTTAAGTTTGTAGTCCATTTGAATCGAATTAACTTTTATTTCTGAATAAAAATTTTAAATATTTGTAATATAATGTATATAGTATGTAAAAATGTTAATATTATTTTAAATGGAATCATCATTTCATTCATTATCATTTCGTAATTTATGCATAACTTCATTCAATCAACTCTCTACAACATTAAACTACGAACCGTATTCAATCTTCAAATGATCAGCAGTAAATAGTTAGAATAAAAAATCTTGTAATAAATTTTAACCAGTTACGAAACAAATTCCATAAATCAATTCCTGAATTGACTTAACATAAAATATGTTTTTTAAATTTTGAATATTAATTTAATTGATCAAATTTACAATAGGATCAAAAGCGAATTTGCATTCAAGCCCAAATCAAGAACTTTTTATATTAGTTGAAACATTAGATTTCATTTATAAAAAATTTTTTGAAAAATTAAGAAGCTCATATTGAACAACTTAAAATTATCATTTACTGTTTTAGAACATAATTTCCAATTGCAATTTTCACATTCATTCTAACGATAGCAAATAATTTTAACATTATATTTTTAAAAATCAATTATTTGGGGGCTGTAATTATTAAATTACATTGTATTGCATTCCACCAAGTTCTCATACTTTACATTTATTTTAACCTTCTTAATTCTAATGAATTCTTGTAATTAATAAATTATGAAAAATTATAAAATTTTTCAATAAAATTTGAGTAATAAATTGAGATTTGAATATTTTTTCATTTCATTGTGCAATGAATTTGAAACACGAGCTCTATACTTAAAAATATATCAACCATTTTGCTGAAGAAAAAGAGTAAAACAGATATTTTTAAATGAAAAATCTCAATAAGATTGAGGACGTCATCCACATTCCTTGACTCTTTTTTTTTCTTTTATTTTAAATTTGGATTTCTTCTTCTTTATATTTAATAATTGAAAAATAAAAAAAAAATTATGAAAAGTTTTTTTTTTCTCATGAATTAAAAGAAAAAGGAAATAAAATAAAAAATTTATTGAAATTTGAAACTATTTCATTTGCAAGGACATTAAACGGTTTATGATATCAATTTGATTGCATCAAAAGAACCTTCAATTTTATTAAATTTCCTTTTTCATCATTTTGTTTTTTATGAACCACAGTTTATCATTTTACGTTTTTTTCCTTTTGAAATTTTTTATTAATCGCTCTTGAAATTAAATTTTTCCTTTAAATTCATATTTTCCTATCACATCTTATATTTCTTCATTCCTCTTTGTGTCATTTTTTGTTTTTTTTTTTGACATCATCTCATTTGTCATTCCTTCTGTTTTTATTTTTCTTTTTCATTTTTTCGTATTGTTCACTAATTTTCAAATAAATGTGAATTAATAAATTGAACGGAATAATATGAAAAATTTCAGTTTAACTGGTACTGGTCCATTTGGAGGAAGTTGTCAAATACATGGACCTATACCACCTATACCACATTCTGAATCAGATGATTTAACTGCCGTACCAGATTTAGATATGGGACAACCACCGACATCAGGTATCAAAAGTCCAATTATTAATAATCCAGCATTTTCACATTCAAAATGTCCACCGAGAGTGCATAGAAGTTGTTTCTGTGTACGTTTTATTGCAGAACATACAAAAATGCAAGAAGATTCAACAAAAGTAAGTAGAAATTTAAATGAAACCTATGAAACGTTTTATGTATTTATATGCATAATATGTGCGTTTTGTAATATCATTTGATAAGGTTCAGGCGAAGATTCTTTTTAATATAAGACTATAGTTTTCAATTTTCGACAGAGATATTAAAATGGATAAGCTCACTTATCACTTTCATTGGCAACAAAATTTAAACAGAAAAAAGAACGGGATCTTAGTAGTCAAAAAATACATGAGCCATATAAATTTGTGATGTTAAACTATAATATCTTGTTACACCCGTATTTTTGCTCATTTTTCCTCTCATTTGAGAACGCAAGGAGCTAGAGATTTTGAATTTATAACAAATATATATGTTCACTTCGCACAGATCTATAACTTTTTTTTATAGCGTTCCTTCCCAGATTCTAAGAATAATCTTCAGATATGCGAAGATCTAGAAAAACATTAAAAAAATGTCACTCTTAATTCAAAATTGACGGATATTCAATTTTGTCAACGACCAAAATTAGCTTCTTACTTATTTTATATTATTTAATCTTTATGAATAATATGTATTTGCATGCTTCTTTGTTGTAAGTCTATAACTAAGATAACCTGGCGTAACTAATTTTTTCTATTAGATTTTAACTCCCAAGCTATTTAACCTTGGCAATAGAGTTCTGCCCATATTCAATTAAAGTGAAACAATTTTTCTTTTTATTGCTAGGCCCTATTGTTAACTCGGTTATTATTATGATGATCTTTTCATACATTTTGTTTGTCAATATAAATTCGAATTATATAATTGTCCATATATGTACATAAATATTGTACAATATAAGAGCTTATTATTACAAAAATTATTATGACACAGAATTTATAATTTAATTTTATTTTTACTAGAAATATAAACAAAATTTTGGGTAATAGTTGCCAGGGTACTACGAGTGCAAATTCAGTTTCAATAAAAGCTATTTTTGAAACAATATTCCCCCTAAAATTCTTATATGTGTCAAATTAAAATTTAGGTTAAATTTTTCCATCTTTTTTTATTTAAATTCTATCACTCTATAGAGATATTCTTGTATAGCTACTTAATATTTATGTCATTACCATTTTATCACATAAATTAAGAGTATAAAAAATAAAACCATTACACAAATTCAATTGAATTTTATGCCCCTTCTCTATTTAAAAAAATAAATATAAATTATTTTAAACCTTTTATTATAAAAGTGGCTTCTTCTTTTCACATGTACAAGTATACATTCGTAGAACATATATTTAGTATTGAAGATTATTGTATTAAAGTTTTGTTTTTGTAAGTATATACATGTATCTATAGGTAAACTACTTATATATATGTACGTGTGTACCTATTTTCTATATAATGTTTTATCCTTAGCACATCGCTAACAAAAATAGAAAAATAAAAAGTTTTTCTTTTAGATTTTTTTTTTTTTAAATCAATTTAGTTACCCTAAAAGCTCTTAATATCCAATGATGCGAATAAATCAATATTCATTGCATCGTCATATAGGTTTGTTACACATGTACAATTTGCTTATATAAGTATACAAGATAAATAAACTTTGATGTAAGTGATGTAAGTTGAGTATAAAGTGAATAAAAAGTCTTAATATTACAAACTTTACAGAAAAGGAAAAAAAAATTCAATTTTAAAGTAAGTTTAAAAATCAATATAAAAATTATATTGAATTTTATATTTATAAATACATATATATAAATATATGTACATATATATTGGAAATCAATTTACTTGGAGATTACATAATAATTTGAAATTCATGTTTTTTTTTTTTTATTTTAAAACTATTATGAGAAACTTATTTAAGTTAAACTATAACGATGTTGGGCATTTAAATCTTAAGAAATGATTTTATCATGTTTTATTCAATATCACTTGAATTTTTCTTAACTTATATTAGGATTTAAATATCATCTAGAAAATCAAGAATGGTTTATATTTCATATGCACAATATATACTTATATTATTCCAATATTTACTAACACAAATGTACGAAAGAACTTACCTGATTTTAAAAATTATTGATACATTTAGTAAAAAAAATGAATGAAAATTTTTGGAATTCTTAAAAAATATTCAAAGAACAAAAAAAGAGGATCCAATATGATTTTTATATAGGATCCGATGTGATTCTTGGTCATTTAAACAGAAAATTTCGAATTCTTAGCTTTAATTCATCTAGTAACTTTTTTTTTCCAAAATAAAATTTTATAGTGTATAGGGTTGATCTTAATGAACGATTTGACATATGCAATAAATTTCTAAATCCATGATCATAGGTAATGAAATCCAATAATGAAATTCGTTTTAACTATATTTGACGTAAAGATTAGACATAAACTAACAATATAAAAATTCACAAATAAAATATTTTAATAAAAATTTTAAAATTTATAAATAAAATTTATTCATACTCAATTGATATTTTTATAAAAAAATCTCTGCATACATAGGTGAAAGAAGATTGGAAATATGTTGCAATGGTATTAGATCGTTTATTTTTATGGATATTTACATTAGCAGTATTAGCTGGTACAGCTGGAATAATATTACAAGCTCCAACATTATACGATGACAGAATTCCAATTGATACAACATTTTCAGATTTTGCTGCAACAGCGACAGCTGGAAAATGTCGTCCACCTCAATAGCAGTTTTATTTTAAAAAAATTTTTTATAACTACTACTATAATTATTATTATTACTATTATTATTATTATAATGGTTTTTTCCCAAAATTTTTATGTGTAATAGGAATGAGTGCCTGTGTTATGGTGTCTGATATAAGAAAACAAAATAAAACAAAAGTTGTTCATTTATTTTTAAATTAATTATTATTAATTATTATTATTATTATTATATATAATTAAAAACATTACATATTATATAAAAAAAAACAATATTATATAAATCGATCAATTACATAAAAAAAAAAATAAAAAAAAAAATATATAAGTAAATTAAAAATTAGTGAAAAGAGAAATGCAATGAAAAAAGTGAATAGAAATTAAATGGATTTTTTTTGTCGATTTTTAAAACAAAATCTATATAAAAATTAACAATTTGCTTTAGAACTTTAAATTGTAAAATAAATTTTTAGAATATTTTTAATTTTTGTAAAAAAAAAATTAAAAAAAAAAATCACGGTAAAAAAGTCAAAAACTTGAAACAAACCATGTGGTTACAAAAAATTAAAAAAAAAAAACAAATATACAAAAAAAAAATGTTACCTACTTTTAATACCACCCACAATACTTACAACTTACACAATATTTTGTTTCATCAACATTAAATATTCTATAAATTTACTATTGCATTTGTGAAGTTCTAATAGCTTTTAAATAAAATTTTAATAAAATATGTGGAGGATACTAACATTATTGCAATACATACATATATCTATGCATTTATGAACATATAAACATACATACATAATGCTATACAAATTCAATACATTTGATTGTTCAAAACTTCTAATTACCTAGCTATGTATATGATACTTCTATCTTATTGCGTATTGCATATTGCATTATAAGCGTTTTAATCGTCATTAATTTAAATTTCGATTTAGATTTATTTTGTTTCACTTTTCACATATATAATATGTATGTGACATTAAATTCACATTCATTGATTTCATTTTATTTAAACAGTTATAAGAAAATTTAAGTTTCTTCATACCATTTCGAAATTTAATTTATACCTTGTACTTAAATCGAAATTAAAAGCCTTATTGGAAGAAAATGAGCTATAAAATAATGTTCAGAGAACCAAAAGTTGTTCAATTTTTAAATTACAAAATTTCTAAAAAGAGGTTGCTCCTATTTATAATTTATGAATAGGGAATATGAAAAATGCTATTGCAATTACAATTGCAAAATATTATAGAATTTCGAGTACAAACGAATCGATTATTAATTGCGAGTATCTACGAGTATACATTTCTCAAAATACGAGAATTAAAATATAAATAAATATACAACGAAATACATACTCGTATACTTATAGACAAAACAACTTGAAATGCTTTTTATTTCGAATTTGTTTTGTAGGCATATACGAAATTCTTTATGCATTGTCTTACTTGCTTTACATTGTACCAAAAACATTTAAAAAAAAAATTAATTTCAAGAAATATAGCAATATTTTACTGTTATAAATGGTATCCTCCATTTTAAAGAAAAGAAAAACTAATTATAAAACAAAAAGAAATTTTTTAAGAAATTAAACAAAACAAAAATTTAAATAAAAATTATTAATATAAATAATTAATTAATTAATAAAAAAAAATTTAAAAATAATAATTATAAGATTGAATATAGAAAATAAAACATAAATAAAGTGTATTATGCCAATGATGCCAATTTATTCAAAGAAAACAGAAAATTAAAACACACAAAAATCATAAAATGGATGTTTAAAAAAAAAAAAAACAATTTGAAATATGTAGAAAATAGTAGAGTTTATCAAAAAAAAAATAAAAAAAAATAAAAAAAAAATAATTGTAGAATATGAAAAATTGTATATTAAAAACAACTTACTAGGAAAGTGTTTATTTATTAAAAATATTAAAAGTAACTCAAATATTTTTAAATTATACAAATTAAGTAATTACAAAACAAAGAACAGACAAAATGATGAAAAATTGAATGATTCAGAAATATAAAAATGATATTATAATATTTATAATATGAATTTTCTATTTTAATTAAAATTATTTGATATATTTTTATTTTGCTGCAATATTTTCAAATATTTGTTTTACTAGATCACTTCTTTCCTAATTTATTTTTGGTTACTTTTTGTATTCTTAGCGCTGTATTATTTTCCGTCAAGACAAATTTCATAGACCTCATAATTAATTTTTCAATATTATTCATTCTAAGCTCAAAAAATCAAATTAGAATAAGATCTTCATAAGAGAAAACATAATAAAATCAACTGAATTTTAATTATGAAATTTATATAAACGAATCTTAACCTATATGTGAGCATCTCAAAAAATTTTGCTTTACAATTCAAGCGCTACGCATTTCATATGGTTTATAATTTTCTTTTTTTAATTACCTAAATTTTATTTTCTCAGAATATTGTATATTTTATCAGACATTGATATTTTAATAGTAGTTTGCAAGAGTTTTTTGACCTACAATTTCAAACATTCTGCACAAAATTTAATTCCGTATATATGTACCTTTATATTTAAGCCTTATCTGTTGAATGTTTTAATAAAAGACGCCGCTACCGAAAAAAAAAACATTGAGAATCACTGAAATACCTACATTAAAAAATGAAATACGAAAAAAATTCAAAGGTTACTTAATTTATTTATTTGTATACTCGTAGTAAAAATATTCGTGAAAATTTCACTCAAAAATTCTTAAACAAAAATTTCAATTATACATAAATACATTCATTTGTACATAATATATTCAATATTTACGGACTTATCTGTATATACTTTTAAGTTTAAGAATAAAAGAACAATAAACTCACTCATTTTTAATTAAGGTTTCAGACACCTTTAAAATTAAAATCGTATACTCGTATGTGTTTATATACAAATCTTATATATAAAATATAAATATGCACCATAATACTGTTGATATATAATATATTAACTTATATGTACATATTAATATATCCATACTTATGAATATATACATGTGTATTTGTTATATGCATTAAAATATGTGAATCCCGTGTAATATATTAATTAATAATTAAAGTTCTTATTTGCTTTCAATTACATTAAAATGCATTTAATTAAGTTTATGTAAATTGGTCAATAAAAACAAAATGTTAATCTATTTAATTGAAATACAAAATAATAAAAAAAATAAAGTAAAATAGCAAAATTAATTAATTAATATATCCTTTTATTCGCAATTTGAAAAATTCAATTATGACTCCTCGATAATAATAATTGTGCAATACAAATGTACAACAGTATATGGATATTTAATTCAACAAAATGAAATAAAAATATTACTTATACGAGTACATACAACTTTTTGCATATAATACGTACGTATGTATATTGATGAATCTAAAATAATGAAAATATTCATATTCTAAACTCGCCTAATTACTTTTATTTATTATTAATTTTATTCAAATAAAAATATATCGTTTCAATTATGTGCTATTGTACATAACGGTAATCTATACTGTAATTAATATTTTATAAACATTATTTACTCTTTTATCACAGTACAACAGCATTATAAAGAAATCATAAAATTTCAACTATAATCCAATTATTCTTTATTCGTATGTGTGAGATATGCGGGGCACAAAGACTATGTTTTCAAATCAATAATTGAATTTAAATGGAAAAAAATAATATTAACAAATTATTTTATTAAATTCAATTAATTTTATTTATGAAAAACAAAATGATTCAAAAAAAAAAAATTGGAAATAAAAAGTAGAAAGAAATTGCAATTAAAAAAATTATTTTGGTATTGCAAAATTACATTTTATTTTTATCAAATTACAAAATTATTATTTTCATATTGAATTAGATTTTGAAAAATATTAAAAATATTGTTAACAAACTGCTGAAAATATTTGATGTTTTCTTAATTCTAAAGCTAAATGTTTGAATTCCGGAATTGTAGTTCGGAACACCATTAATGTCTTGCCATAAATTTACATATCTGTACAGTAATAACAATTACATTGTACTAATAAACATCAAATAAATTGAACATAACGCTCAAAACTATATTTAAACATATATATACTAAATACTTTTACATATTATCAATTAAATTGAATTGAATTAAAATAATAAGTGAAGTAAAAGTTGAAACTATTACACGAAATGTTAAACGATTGTCTAATACAAACATATTAAAAATAAAATATTTAATATTTTGACATGGATTCCTTATAAGTAGAATGTCGATCTGTAAAAAACAATAAATAATTCAGGAAATTATAGAAATTTCAAACTACAACACATATGTATAACATACATACATACCTCCCCTTCATATATTATATTTGACATGCAATCGATCCAAAGATGGCTGGTAACATTTATTGTTTTAGAAATTTTATTAAATAATATTAAAAAAAATATTATATCAAAATATAATTTAATATTATTAATAATACCGAAAATAAAAAAATTTTTTGTATATGCGATATGGTAAATAATTTTATAAAGTGATAAAACTATTAAAATATAATTAAATGCAAGTATAAAAAAACATGGTGAATTAAATATTTTATTAAATGATTTTATAATTTTTATACATTTCCAAAATAATTTAATATTCGTTTCTAGTTTTTTATTATTCATATTAATATTATTATTACCTATAAAAATAGAAAAATAAATTTAATAGAAAATTAATTAATAATTATATTTTCTATATTTTCAATTTAAATATAATAAAAACAGAAAATAAACAACACAATTCTAATAATCGGATAAATAATAATTGTGTTGTGGATTAATTTGCACACTTATGCCAAATATTATAATAGGATATAAGCGAAAATTTTCCATTTTTGAAGATGTACACATTCGTAAATAAAATGTATAAAAAATATAATAGAAGTGCGGTATGAAATTTTATCTGCGGCAATACGACAAAACTTAAATTATGTCGATTTGAAATAAAATCGTCATTTCATAAAATTTGAAATTTTCGTATTACTAAACTATTATTATTTAGATGTCCGAAATATGAAAAATGAAAGAAAATCATTCATTAAGTCTGAAAACCTTATTTTAACTGAATGATTTTACAAATGAATTTTTATCAATCTTTAAGTGCAAATTATATCGCTTTATTATTTTCATCAAAAGGAAAATCAATTATCAGAATTATATTGTATATTTATATAATGTGTATATACATATATATACATAATTATGATTAATTCATACTCTTATTACAATTAAAGTTATTTAATATTTCCTTCATTTTTTTATTCAATATCTCCAAATAATTTATAATTACCAATATACCAACATATAAAAGTGATATATAATTAAAATGTATTAAATATACATAGTTACCATGTAGCCAATATAAATAATGTCTTAATTCAAATAAACGAAAATTTTGAGAATTTAATGGTATATCAGTGATAAGCTCATAAAAAATTGTAATAAATTTAATTAATAAAAAATATAAAAATCTTTTATTAAATACATTTTTAACATCATATTGTAAAATTTTATATATTTTAATTATAATATTTATTAATAATTTTAATTTATTATCATATATTAACCTATATAAATAAGTAATAATAGAACCTATTGTTACTATCAATATCATTAAATAATATAAAAAAACATAATAAATATCTTCATCGAATTGATAAAAAAATGTTATTTTCATAAAGATTATTGGAGAAGTTAATAAAAGTATTAAATGTGTAATATTCCAAAATATTCGTAAATATTTAAAATTCCAATTACACAAAAAAAATTTTATTTCATCAATTTGAAAAAATATAAATCCAAAAATTCTACCATATATATAAAGGTATTTTAATAAGAATAATGAAAATTTATTAACAAAATTCATTTTATGTACATGCTATTTCTATACAACATATACATAAATTCAATAATATTCCAACATTATTTTATTTGCAATGTCTATTTTAAATACTATGCACTTTAAAATATTAACATTTTAATTCAATATAACTTTTATATGTAATATTAATAATGTTACTATTTTATTTTTTAAAAAATATGTAATGTATTTTAATTTGAGACATTAAAAATGATTGAATCAATTAAATATATTGAAAAAAAAACATAAAAATAACATTATTTTTTCTAATGTTAAAAATCAAACATTGAGAATGAGAACCTCAACATTTTATTAAATTATTAAATTTCAATTAATATTGAATGGCCATGTGTTTACTCTTCATTTCTAATGTCATATCTATTGGGTTGTTTAATATGTTGATTTCTTTGACTTTTCAACTTCACCTTTTCCATTTTCACTTTATCCATTTTGTTGTTTTCTTTTTGAAGGATAAAAAATGCAGGGCATTACTGTACCGTCAAGAAATTTATATTGTTTCTTATTTGAGCCGGAATATTAAGATTTATTTTTAGTCAACACCAATATTAAAGCTATGCAACAAAATGCAATAAATTCATTTATTTAGAAACTTGAAAAAAAATTCTAAGACAAAAATG